TTATACGTACCAAATTCAAATGCCCCCAACTATACAAAACAAATATTAATGGACATGAAAAACCAAATAAGCACTAATACCATTGTAGTGGGGGACCTCAACACCCCACGATCACAGATAGACACATCACCTAGACAAAAAATTAACAATGAAATTCTAGAAGTGAACCAAGCTATTGAACAAATGGACTTAATTGATGTTTACAGAGTGTTCTACCCCACAAAATCAGAATATACATTCTTTTCGGCTGCACACAGGTCATTCTCCAAAATAGACCACATGCTAGCTCATAGGACATGTATAGGTAAATGTAAAAGAACTGACGTTACCCCCTGTATATTATCAGACCATAGTGCAATAAAATTGGAGATTAATAGCATAAGAAACTGTAAAAGCCCCACAAACACATGGAAATTGAATAACACTCTCCTGAACAACCAATGCGTTACAGAGGAAATTAAAGAAGAAATTAGACAGTTTCTGCAAGTAAATGATAACTCAAGTACAATGTACAGGAATCTATGGGACACAATGAAAGCAATTCTAGGAGGGAAATTCATAGCAGTGAATGCCTATATTAGGACAACAGAGAGCTCAAATAAACAACCTAATGCTGAACCTCAAGCTCCTAGAAAAACAAGACCAGGACAAACCCAAAGCTTGTATAAGAGAGGAAATTATAATGAGTAGAGCAGAAATCAATGCAATGGAGACTAAGAGAATGATAGAAAAAATGAATGAATCAAAGCGTTGGATTTTTGAAAGAATAAATAAAATCAATAAACCTTTAGCTAACCTTGTCAAAAAAAGGAAAGAAGGCAGACAACGCAGCGGCGAGGTCCGCGAGGCAGGCGAGTGCCGCAGTGGCAGCGGCGGGGCCTCGCGCGGCAGGGCGGCCTGGACTTTGCCCTCCCTTCGGTTCCCTGGAAGCGGCCAGCGGCCCGCGCGGGAGAGGTAGTAGCAGAGGCGGAGGCTCCAGCGCGTCTCTCTTGCACTCAGCCTGAGCCAGGGGGAGGCCTGGCGGTCCGGGTGGCTGGAGGGGCTTCGCTGCCCGAGAATGGGAATTCTCTTCACCAGGATATGGAGACTGTTCAATCACCAGGAACACAAAGCTATCATTGTTGGGTTGGATAATGCAGGGAAAACTACCATCCTTTACCAATTTTCTACAAATGAAGTTGTACATACATCCCCTACAACAGGAAGTAATGTAGAAGAGATAATGATTAATAATACATGTTTCCTGATGTGGGATATTGGTGGCCAAGAATCTCTTCGCTCTTCCTGGAATACTTACTATACTAATACAGAGTTTGTAATAGTTGTTGTGGACAGTACAGACAGAGAAAGGATTTCTGTAACTAGAGAAGAACTCTACAAAATGTTAGCTCATGAGGACCAAAGGAAAGCTGGATTGCTGATTTTTGCTAATAAACAAGATGTTAAAGAATGCATGACTGTAGCAGAAATCTCCCAGTTCTTGAAGCTCACTTCGATTAAAGATCACCAGTGGCATATCCAGGCATGCTGTGCTCTTACTGGCGAGGGACTATGCCAAAGGCTTGAATGGATGATGTCACGATTTAAGATTAGATGATCTCTACTGATCTCTTCTCATAGACTTTGTAAAAGCAAAGTGCTGGACTTTACCTGAAAGCTGCAAAAATTAATGGTTTAGATATATTTACAATAAACTGATTTAAACTTTTTCTAAAGAAGAAAAATTAAGACCACTTATTTGAAAACAAGGATGAAGTTTCACCTTCCAATTTGCTTTCTCATTAGTTCCTTCCAAAGTATGTTATTAAAGCTGTGATCAATATTTTTCTCATAATAAATCCTCTCAG